CAACCTTGACATCTATCTGATGATGTTGCTTGCCTCTTTCAAGTGGGACAATGGGAGTAACAATTGCGTTGTGAGAGAATGGTTGGTCTAAAGCCCCACTCACCCATTCTGATATTTCTCAACAATAGCGACATATCAGAGACAAAACATGGGACAGAAGGCATTCTTATGGATTCATATCTTTCCTAAGAGAATTATTAAAAAGTGAGTGTATAACAACCGCTAACGAAATAGCGATACTCGTTACGCTAGCTAGTTTCTTTCTTTCTTTCTTTTCATTTATTTCTCTCTCTTTCTTTCTTTCTTTCTTTCTTTCATTAATTTATTCTTTCTTTTCGTCTTTCTTTTCATTCTTTATTTCTATTTGATTGTCTTTCTTTCCTTCTTTCTTTAGTTTCAAGCACTCATTCATTCTTTCTTTCCTTCTTTCTTTTCATTCATTCATTCGTTCTTTCATTCATTCATTCTGTCTGTCTTTCTTTCTTTATTTCTATTTGATTTTCTTTCCTTCTTTATTTCTTTTCGTTCATTCACTCTTTCTTTCATTTATTCTTTCTTTTCATTCTTTCCTTATTTCTATTTAATTTTCTTTCTTTCCTTCTTTCTTTTGTTTCAGTCATTCATGCACTCTTTCTTTCCGTTTTTCTTTTTATTAATTCATTCTTTCATTCTTTCTTTCTTTCATTCGTTATTTTTTCTTTCTTTTTAATCATTATTTTTTCTTTTTATTCTTTATTTTTCCATTCTTTATTTTTACTTTCTTTCTTTCTACCTTTATTCTTTCTTTTTATTCTTTATTTTCATTCATTACTTATTTCTTTTTCTTTCTTCATTCTTTATTTCTTTTCATTATTTATTTCATTTTTTCTTTCTTTCTTCATTCTTTATTTATTTTGTTATTTTTTCTTTCTTTCCATTCGTTATTTTTTCTTTCTTTCTTTTTATTCTTATTTCTTTTCATTCTTTAATAATTTCTATTTTCTTTCTTTCTATATTTTCTTTCTTTCTATATTTTCTTTCTTTCTATTTTTATTCATTACATTTTTCTTTTTTGTTATTCTTTACTTATTTCTTTCTTTCTTTATTCTTTATTTATTTATTTCTCTCTTTCGTTTCCCTTTCTTTCGTTCTTTCTTCCTCTGTACGTATATATAATCCAATATGTACTGGATTCGTTTTGTAAATTGAGTAGATAATGGCTAAAGCAGCCATTTTCCTGTCCCTGTTTGTGCATGTAAGGCAATAACAAAAGAGTAGATTACGTATAAGGCACACAGATCTCACTGTTGCTGACTAACTCAGAAGGATGACTGAAAGAACTCTGAGATAAGTTGCTAAAGAAAAAAAAATAAAAAAGGATTATTAACTGCAAGTGAATTAAATGTCAATTTTGAAACTGTACTAACGCCATTGATATACTGATATCTGTTTTTGTACGCATGTATGTATGACGTTAAGGGGTCCACCCCTTTTTATACAACTGGACTCGCCCAGTGTGTACTTGTACTGCTGCCGGTGAATAACCGGAAGTGATATAGTGAGAGAGTGAGAGTGTGAGGAAATCGCTTTGTAGGAGTCACAGTTACGAGCACGTAGACTCAGAAGGAAGTCATACTTCGATACTGAATTTCCCAGACTATATATATATATTATTATTTCTACTAACCGCATTTCTGGATCTACTAACCGTATTACCAATTGTATTATTACGTCAATACATTTATTTGCTATATTTCATTCCTGCGTTTGTCATTTATTTGAGACCGGATTTCATCCCGGAATCCACAACACAAACCATTAAGTTTCGGGAATTCTTTAAGAAGTGAAGGATCGATTTCTCGCAGAATTGATATCGTGAACAGGAACCCCTGTTCTAAAATCATTATTTTTAAAATTCTGACTAGTTTTACGGCGAAAGGAAGGTCTAAAGAATTATCTACAAAAAATTATTTCCTTCAAAATAACCGACAAACTTATGATGAAGATGACTAGTGACAGAACAGAGTTTAATTCATTCCTTTTCTGAATATATTCTTCTTTATGTGCCGTTTCCTTCCAGGACATAGACGATCATGACACTCCACATCTTCCTGTCACTTGTAGCTCTTAGTTTTGTCTTTAAGTTATTTCTTCCAAACTCTTTCTTACCATCCATTTACTCAAGCTCATTAAGTACGTTGCGCGCTGCTTTGCGGCCATCTTTCCCTCAATCCGTCCTGGGAGTATCAGATTTTCTAAGCCCTTCTTCCGCTTTACGTGCTCCAGAAATGTAAACTGCCTCTTCTTGATGTTAAGTATAAGTTACCTTTTTGTTTCTATTTTCTCCAAAACCTCGTTCATGCTGCTTAGCATCCTTGACACGTTCGGGAGGGATATTAGAATAATGAAGAAATTATACTGCTAGCAAATCGACAGAAAATGAGTTCAGTAGATATACAAAAAACAGAAAGGGGTATAAGACAAGGGTGTGTCTTCTCACCGGACCTATTCAACCTATAAAGCGAGACAATTCCCGAATATATTTGTGTGAAAATGATATAAATAATATTGTTTGGAACGCGAACTCGTTTCGCTCATCTCTTTTTTCAAACGATAATAACTTATTTATTGGGATGGTGCATAATTATCAGGCGTTTTTGTAGGCGAGTTATTTGTTAATAAAAATTGTTGTTTCGTTTACTTTTTTTAAGAAAAATATTATTTTATTTTCAGGTTATAAAAATGCAGGTAGATACGCTTCGGAATAATTCTTTAAAAATGTTATTGTTGAATTGTTATCTTACTTTTTTTTGTAATGAAGTGTTTTAAAAAACGCCTGATAAATATGCACCAACTCAATAATTTTATATAAATGAACTATATCACATATACAACAAAGCCTTAGGGGGTAATCTGTAAAGGTAGACCAGTTAAAATCTGATTATTTAAACTAGCATGTATACAAAACTTAAGTGTAGATTTAGAGAATACACGTCTAAAATGACATGCGCATGCGTACACACACAATTGGCTCTACGTAATATAATTTAGATTTACGCATGTGCACAAAGGAATGGATAAAACCCACCGTGTAAATACACCGCCGCATATACTAAGTTGAATTTAAGAAAAACACGCAAACAGAAATAACCACTTGTGTGACGTAGAGACAGAAGACATATATATATATATATATATATATATATATATATATATATATATATATATATATATAAGAGCCACACTTGTCATACATCAAGGGGCGTGTGTCATGGTATGATTGTGAAGCATCAGTTTAGTGAACCCATATATCAACAGAATGGACCATAGGTGTCGGTCACGCTTCGGCACCCCTTTGTCAGAACGCCACAGACGTTGGCACCGTCGGCTACAGCGTCAACATACTGTTCATCTTCGCAATTCAACTCATCGATCCTCAATGGTCATTTTATATAGCCAAGCCTCCAGTAAAGTTCTTTGAATAGAATAATGGGGAAGGGAATGGTTTGTTTCTCTGGCGTAGGAATGAATCAATATTTATAGATGGCAATGTTTGTCGTGATAGATAGATAGATAGATAGATAGATAGATAGATAGATAGATAGATAGATAGATAGATGTGTGCTGACAGACAGAAATAGATATATAGATACATACATACATATATATAAATGGAGAAACCGAGATAGATAAATGTGAGCTAAGTGATATAGATAGATGTATACATAAATATATAGATATAAAGAACCATGGATGGATAGATAGATAGATAGATAGATAGATAGATAGATAGATAGATACTTCTATATACATAATCAAAACTTAGATAAATAAATATGGACAGACAATATCAGGAAGAGATAGAAAGGAACATATTGAGATAGATATATGTTTCATAGTGAGATACACACCATATATATATATATATATATATATATATATATATATATATATATATATATATATATATATGAAGAAAAATATACAGAAAAAAAACAAACAAAAATCTTAATATGCAATTATGATGTATTAATGTTAATATAAACTCAACGTCGGGCGTTTCGGTCTATTTTAGACCATCTTCAGGACATTTTCATTTAAACATAATTAACATTAGAATATATAAAAATTCGGATCTATATCCATATATTTGCTTACACACACACACACACACACACATATATATATATAGACAGACAGGGTGCGATGGATAAATTATCGTCTAAATTACGGAAAAGTGAAAATAATACTGACATCTCATTTTAACAGTTATCTTTATATAAATTATACAAAAATACTTAAGAATAAATTTCTTCAATAAAATCGCCTTTGACTTCAACCACGGCCTCCAGACGACTCGGGAATCTCCTGGAACTCTTTTGGACGGTCTTCTTGATTAAGTTGGCGAATGCTGCCATAATCCTTGCCTTCAGTCCATCATTGGTGCTACAAGGAGTTTTGTTGGTCTCTCGCTCAACTGCGCTCCACACATAATAATCAAGGAGTTTACAGTCTAGCGAGTTATATGGTCAGATGTAAGGGTCATGTGGTCGTAGAAATTGTCTGACTGCCATAACTGCGTTCTCCTGCTTGTGTGGCATGGTGCAGAGTTCTATTGCTAGATATAGGGTCTTCCAGTAGTCACCCAGTTAATCCAGAGCTGCACTACCTCCTCAAGGCACTTGGTGTAGACTTCCGTTTTGAGTAAGAGGCCTTGTGGGAAGATGAATGGAGGCATAACGTCGCCATCACTAGTGACCACTCCAAACACCTTCGTAATCACTTTAGACTCATCCAACTCTTTCCGAATCCTATGCACTGTATTCATAGTTAGATAGATAGATGAATGCATATATGCATGAATGCTGTGGAAAATCCGGAAAAATAAATTTTCAGAAGAGAACAGATCCAAAGCGAGCATTGTTTTGTAAATAGAGAGCTAAATCTCAAGAGATACAACAATAATTATCGATACAAGAAAGAGTTCACTGATCTGAACTAAGTTTATAGTTACCCTTTTTATGTACAATCTTCAGCGGATTTCTATGTGACTTAAATTTATATACACTTTTTCTTTCTTTTTCTTTCTTTCTTTCTTTTTTCCGTTCGTTCGTTCATCCATTCGTTTTTATTCTTTGTTTCATTCATTCATTCTTTATTTCTTTCATTCATTCATTTTCATTCTTTCTTTCTTTTTTTCTCTTTTCCTCAGACGCTATCATTGTCGCAGCATTTCCGCCATTTTTGATCGTTTGTTTTCCCTTACGTTCGTCACCTGTCTTTTTCTTTCTTTCTTTCTTTCTTTCTTTCTTTCTTTCTTTCTTTCTTTCTTTCTTTCTTTCTTTTTCGTTCGTTCTTTCGTTCGTTCATTCATTCATTCGTTTTCTTTCTTTCTTTCTTTCTTTCTTTCTTTCTTTCTTTCTTTCTTTCTTTTTCGTTCGTTCTTTCGTTCGTTCATTCATTCATTCGTTTTCTTTCTTTCTTTCTTTCTTTCTTCCTTTCTTTCTTTTTTGTTCGTTCTTTCGTTCGTTCATTCATTCATTCGTTTTCTTTCTTTCTTTCTTTCTTTCTTTCTTTCTTTTTCGTTCGTTCTTTCGTTCGTTCATTCATTCATTCGCTTTCTTTCTTTCATTCTTTCTTTCTTTCTTTTTTCTTTTTCGTTCGTTCTCGTTCATTCATTCATTCGTTTTCTTTCTTTCTTTTCTTTCTTTCTTTCTTTCTTTCTTTTCTTTCTTTCTTTCAAAAGTATCCTTTCGAATAATTCCGTACAAGTTAAGACAATTATTTAAGTTATTTTTCTAAAATAAGCTCATAAAATATTCAAGTGCATCGTATTATATATATATATATATATATATATATATATATATATATATATATATATATATATATGCTCAATGATTGCTGATGGCATTCTATTGATAGAAAAAATAGACAAATTAACATAAAAATGAATCGATTAACAGTCAAAATAGATCGATAATGCTGATAGATATATTGTCCTCAATAATAATGACGTGTAGTTTTCTAATCGCAATCTTATAAGCGTTTGCTTACGTGGAGGACCGACATTTATGTGAAATAAATATAACTTAAAACCACACCGACTTCGAGACTGGGTTGATGTCTGAAGACATGGAGGTTTTGCAACTACATTTTATTGAGAGTCAATACTCGCTAACCTCGCAGAAAACATTAATCGATAATGACGCTAACACTAGCTATCATAAGTGTTCAATTTTGTTTACGTTGTAACGCAAGCTTGTGAGAATTAATATAAAGAATTGATGTCTTTGCGCATAGCTATGATTAAAAATAGCTTCGACCAAATAAAGCCAGTAGATCATAGAGAGGACCATCCCTCTTCGATCTGGCGCTAGTGAATCACAAAGAACTCTGTCAAATAACAGAAATCACATCACTTAGGGACTAGCAACTAAAATTGAATGCACATTTAACTCGAAGAAAAAATAAAGACATAATCAAGATGTTGACGTTCCACACTACTTCAAACAAAAATTCGGGAAGGAAAGACCACGTCTGTACTGCAAAGGGCACTGATAGTCATTTGACATAGGAAATCTATTTTTCTGAGAAATTGTTTTAAAAGATTTTATAAATTTCATCCGATGATAGCTCGGGCTACCATGAATGCAGGATATTTTCTTAAAGGCTACCATCTATAAATTCGCGGAAGCCTAAATTTAATCTGCATGTCCCCACCCTATATTCATTAGAGCAAAACATTACACCCGCAGGGATAATTTTTTACTAGCTTTTTTAAGTCTTTTATATATATTAACAAATGACGTTTCTCATATAAGCAGTAATGTTTAATTTGCAAAAGAAATTTTAAAAGTATATACTGTTAAATATTTCATCTGTGTTATTTATTTTTAATTCAAATTTTAAAAATTGTCATACATAAACAATGTCAATAAAACATTTCATAAATTCATCGTGCTTGTATAGAAAGAATTTTTAACTGTTTTGTCAAAATTTAATATCGATTTTAGTTGTTGCCGCTGATGAAAATCCTCAAAAAATGTGGTTTATGATATTTGCCAGAGTTCTTCGTTTGTGTTTCTGCAGTGCCAGTCCATAAGGTTCGAAGAAAGGTGGTCGTTCATCATTTATCCGAGAAAACGGTTGCATACAGCTGAGAGTTTAGGTATTTGGGAACGAATTAGGTGCCATTTTTATATATATATATATATATATATATATATATATAATATATAGTCTTAAGGTGTGCTATATTTATGGGATAAAGTGCTCAATATCAGAGATAGAGCGTGTGAATATAAAAGTGAACATAGAAGTCAACACTTAGAGGCGACAGTCTGTTTCATGCTATATGCAATCGTCAGGCCACGTGTGCTGTTATTTTTCTGCTATTTATATATATACGGGTTGTGGTGCATTGTGGGTATTCTATTATGGCGGTTATTTTACCGGAAGTCGCTTTGTTCATTTATTTGGGTCAAGTTATATTGCTCGTTTTTATTTATTTTTTATTTTATTTTATTTATTTATTTATTTATTTATTTTTTTTTTTTGTTTCTTATTTTATTTATTTATTTATTAACGTAGTAAAAATTTTTTTTATATCACGTATTTAACAGTTTTGTTTTTGGTTTGAGAATTTAATTAAAGCTATTTGTTCAATTTTGAGGTTGGTTGTTGTAGCTATTCTAACTATTATTTTGGCGGGGAACAGTTTTTTTAATTTGGGATTGGTTTGCCTATTTATTTACTTGGATGAATTTGTCAATTTATTTTTTTATTTTCTCTTTTTTGTTTTCGGTTTTAAGCAACATAGTACTTATTTATTTATTTTATTTATTTATTTATTTTTTTTTTTTATTATTATTGTATTTGTTTTTATTTTATTTTTTCCGTTTTTTCATTTTTAGGTTACGTAGTAAAAAATTTATTTTCATGCCTGCATTTTGAGATGAGCTCGGATCTTTTATTTAATAATTTATTTTGGTCGGGAAAGTAATGATAGCTATTTTTCCTCAAGCAGAGTTTGCAAGTTTTGATTGGTTGTTGTAGGCTGATGACTTTTTCCTTATCTTCCAAGATATTTTTGGTGTGATATGCGTTTTGTTTTTTTTATTTCCCAGATATACTTAGAAAGCATAGTACTGTTCGCATATTTACTATTTGTGAACGATGTTTTTTGTGTATAATTTCTTTGCTTCAGGGTCCTTCAGTTACTCCTATGTATACTTTTTTCTTCGTTATCTGGTGATTTTATCGTGGCTTGGTATATTACGTTGTTTTGTAGACAATTTCCGTTTAAGGGACATTCGTTCTTTATTCTGCAGTTGACGTGGGTTTAATTTGTTCGTGTGGTTTGTTGATAATTTTCCTATTGTGCTTTTTTTATTATTTGTGCCATGCTCTCGGTGCAGCTGTAGCTGATTTTTACTGTATTTTTTGTTGAATATCTTGTGTAAGGTGCTTGATTCTAGGAAGTGTTTGTGTAAGAGTTTGAAGAATATTTTTCCTACGTTTGTTTTACGTTCTTGCTGTACGGTGGGTTGAAATATTTCTTCTCCTGTTGGTCTTTTTGTATTCTGTGGTGAGTAAGTGTGCTGGGAATCCGCTATCTTTTAAGGCCGTTTCATAGTCTTTTTTCTTTGTTAAAAGGGATTCATTGGAGGAATTGTCGGAGAGCCTGCGGTTAATCGATTTTGGTATCTGTTTGATTATAGAAGGCGGATGGTTGGAAGATGTGTGTATGTAGAGTGGTTTATCGTTAGGTTTTTGTATGGTTTATATGTGCCTTCTCTTAGGTTGAAAGGTCACATCTAGAAATCTACTTCGTTTAGGTTAGTTTTTATATCTATGGAATCCGTTATTTTTAAAAATCTTTATTACCTTTTCTAGTTTTGTCTGTGTTTTGTTTGTTACAGTTTCTTAAGATTATGAGGCCGTCGTCCCTGTAGAGTCCTGTGTCATTTTTATCTATTATTTTGCTCAGTTCGTGTAGTAAGTAAATGCCTATGATTTCGCATGCCTCTGCACCGTCAAAGCTTCCCATTGTAGTGTCAAATATCCCATCTTTCTTTATCCATGCTTCTTCATTGTGGAATAATAATGATTTACGGGGAGTGTTAATGATGTTGATTTCGCTTGGTTTTATTATTATTTGTTCCTGAGCTAAGTCGATGGCCTTATCTAGCATACGTTCTGTTATAGATGGGTAAAATTCTTTATGTCTAATTGTAGGAATTGGCAATTTTGTTTGTTATTTATGTTGTGGAACCAGTCAATATTTTCGTATTTTTCCACTGGTTTACTCCTAATTTCTTCCCTAAGTTCAGAATTAATTCTTTCTAGTATTGTTTTACTTATTTTACCTAGTTCGCTTTTGGCTGGGTTTATGAGTCTGCATGCAGGATTAGTTTTGAAATTTTTCTTTATGGTCTTTTAGTGTGATAATCGTGCCTTGCTAATACAATTTATTCGGTCATCTAGGTCTAATTTTTGGGCCTTCCTTATTGATATCGTGTTCTGTTGTTTGGGGTGCCTTTTTGTATGTTTTGGTTATGTTGTTCTTGAGTAATTTATTTGTGTGTAGGAGGGCTTATTTTGTATAAATTTCTCGTTTTGTCAGCACGATAAATACACTTGCTGAACTATTGACTGGTTCCACAACATAAATAACAAACAAAATTGCCAATTTACAATTAGACATATAAAAGAATTTTACCCATCTATAACAGAACGTATGCTAGATAAGGCCATCGACTTAGCTCAGGAACAAATTAATAAAACCAAGCGAAATCAACATACACCCGTAAATCATTATTATTCCACAATGAAGCATGGATAAAGAAAGATGGGATATTGACACTACAATGGGAAGCTTTGACGGTGCAGAGGCATGCTAGGCATTTACTTACTACACGAACTGAGCAAAATAATAGATAAAATGACACAGGACTCTACAGGGACGACGGCCTCATAATTTGAAACTGTAACAAACAAAACACAGATTTTAAAAGATTTTAAAAATATGACTAGATATAAAATATTTCATCTGACCTTCAACCTAGAGAAGGCACATATAAACCATACAGAAAAACCTAACGATAAACCACTCTACATACATCTTCCAACCATCCGCCTTCTATAATCAAACAGATACCAAAAATCGATTAACCGCAGGCTCTCCGACAATTCCTCCAATGATCCCTATTTAACAAAGCTCAAATTTTAAAAAGATAGCGGATTCCCAATACAAAAAATACTCAACACAGAATACAAAACCAACAGGAAAAGAACCAACATAAAACCGTAAGCAAGAACGTAAAAAACAAACGTAGGAAAAATATTCTTCAAACTCTACACAAACACTTCCCAGAATCAAGCATCAAGATATTCAACAAAAATACAGTAAAAATCAGCTACAAGCTGCACCGAGAGCATGGCACAAATAAAAAGCACAATGGGAAAATTATCAACAAACCACACGAACAAATTTGCAACTGCAGAATAAAGAACGAATGTCCCATTTTGTCTACAAAACAACGTAATATACCAAGCCACGATAAAATCACCAGATAACGAAGAAAAGATTTTGAAGCAAAGAAATTATACACACAAAACATCGTTCACAAATAGTAAATATGCGAACAGTACTATGCTTTCTAAGTATATCTGGGAAATAAAAAACAAAACGCATATCACACAAAAAATATCTTGGAAGATAAGGAAAAGTTCAGCCTACAACAACCAATCAAAAACTTGCAAAACT